ACAGTGAGACTCTGTCTCAAAAAAAAAAAAAAAAAAAGATGGTACACTGTACTATGAAAACTATGAAGTATTTGAGAAATTCAAATAAAGTAAAATAAAGTGTTAATTTATGAAAGAAACTATATGGTACTCCCAACTTTTTCACCTTCCGGAAGCCAAATTAATCATGAACAATTAATTTCAATACACCTACTTAAATTCTGAAAAGAAGATAGATATCTATTAGTTAACTGATTGATTACACACTGGAAGACACACTAGAAGACTAAGGATAAAAATCATCCTCCCACCTAGGTAAAAAATATAAAACCAATGACTTCACATGCAGTTAGCATGTGAAAATCCATACTGATGGGATAAAAGGAAAATTGTGGTGAATATACCCTCTGAGTACATCCAGGAAAGACAATCTCCATGCCTAACCTATTCTGACCCAATCCAGAACAAGCTAAGACAATGGGGACATGAATGAGACTTGAGTCCAATCTCCATGTTAATTTTTCAAGAGACAGAATGCATAACACACTATGCTCTAAACACAACAAAGAATTACTCATCCCTCTGTTCTCATCTCTCCCCATAAGTAACGTGAGAAAATGCTGACTTAAAGCTTATTGATCCTTGCTCTAAAGTTTAACCCAAACTATCTTTAGAGTCTTACTTTGCTGCAATATGAAGCAAGCTTCTTTTCACACGTCCAAATGCATAATTGACATCAAATTTTGAATTTGATAGCAGTTCAGAAACAGACCTATGCCCAAAAAATATGAAAAGAGGAATCAATATGTTAAAAAAGTTTTTAAAAACACAATAAATCAATTTAACAGCTCTTTACTCTTACTAATTCTTCAAACCGTTCTGTCCCATACCAACCAAAAAACAAGGCTATTTTCTAGCATATTTACTATTCTCTTAGTATGGCAGCCAGCACAGTATCATTCAAAAACCAAATTCCTTGACCAATAAACTGGTGCTGAAGGTTTCCTCATCTCCCACTTGGCCAGTGCTACATAACCTGCTCTGAAGACACGTAACAGAGAAAGTTGGTTTCAGCTCTCCCTAGATGCTTCAGAAACAAAGGGTATAGGCCTGGCTGCTCCCATTGCCAAAAGTTGAGCTACCTATATTAATCCTTGGCCAAATAAAGAAAATCAGACAAAAACATTTTTTAATTATACCAGACAGGAAAATTAACAGCAAAAAATAATTTATATTTTAAACTTGTTTCAAAATACAGTTTCTCTTCACATTCTTTTCATTGTACCAAAATACCCAATGGCTAACCACAGCAGAGCCAACTGCTACAAGTATAAATACCCCCCACAAAGCCAAATAAGTGTATCTCATTCACGCCCCTGTGAAAAGAGGGTCAACACTACATTGATCAAAAGAACGTCAACACAGTAGCACTTAAGGGAAATAAGGTATCCCTCAGCCCTAATCTTTTGCTATAAAGAGCAGTAGTGCGACCTCTAAAAGAAATCATCTCAATGTTTTTTCCTATGTCAGTGACCAAAAAAAAACCAATAATAATAATAATATTAAGTCATTAAATACGAAATGTCCGATTTAAACAGTGTTGTTTATTATATCTCAAACAAGAAGCAGTACAATTAATCAGAATATGATATGTGCCTAAACTATCAACACAGTTGTGCCCTCTTAACAGTAGCTTGTTTATGCAAGCAGCGAAGAAGCCTGGAGAGTGGTGATAAAATTGCAAAAGGTATTTTCCACAGCTTGTTGAGAATCGAATATTTTTCCTTGCAAGAAGTGGTCCAAAGCCTGGAAGAAGTGGTAGTCAGTTGGTGCAAGGTCTGGTGAATATGGTGGATGACAGAGTTTCTGAGTCCAGCCTCTGTAGTTGGAGCAGTGTTGTTTGTGCAACATGTGGTCAAGTGTTGCCTTGCAAGAGGATTGACCTGTTTCTATTGACCAATTTCAGCTGCTTAATCACAAGCATCATCATTTTGTCCAATTGGTTGCAGTAGACATCCGCTATAATCAACTGACCAGATTTCATGAAGCTATAGTGGATAATACCAGTGCTGGACCACCAAACAGACACCATTAGCTTTTGTCGATGAATATTCATTTTTGACTGTGTTTCAGCACTTCATCTTTATCCAACCATTGTGCCAAACGCTTGTGATTGTCAAAAAGAATCCATTTTTCATCACATGTAACAATATGGTGTAGAAATGGTTCACCTTTATGTTGTGACAGCAAAGAAAGGCAAACTTCGAGAAGATTTCTCTTCTGACTCTTGTTTAATTCACGTGGTACCCATCAATCCAGCTTCATTACGTTGCCAGTTTGTTTCCAATGGTCCAATATTGTTGGAATAGTAATGTCAAACCTTGCTGCTAATTCACATGTAGGTTGCAATGGATTCGCTTCCACTACAGCTTTTAGCTCATCCTTGGTCTCAGGTCACCCACCTGGCTCACTTTCAAGATTAAAATCACCAGAACGGAACTTCTCAAACCATCAACATACTGTGCATTCATTAGTCACATCCTTCCCAAACACTTCATTGATATGTCAAGCTGTCCGGACTGCACTTGTTCCACAGTGGAACTCGTATTCGAAAATAACACCAATTTTTGACTTATCTGTGGCTTCACAAAAATTGCTCTTAAAAAAAAAAAGTGAAAGATAATCAAAAGCCAAGCTATGCATTTGAAAGAATGAGGATGTACCTTCACAACAAAGTAAAACAAGAAGTCTCAAAGTGAAATGTCAGAGATATCAATTATTGAACTTAGTATTTATGGAAATTGGACATTTCATACTTAATAACCATTATACCTGACTTAATATCTGATTATTCATTCAGAAAATCTCTTACTATAAAATTTCACAGCTAACATGGATCTTAGAAAAATGTATTCTTTATTTCACAGCAGAAAATTGTAACTGAGAGGTCAAATAACTTGCCTCAGGCAACATCTACATCCAAAGTGTGTCTGTATGTGTTTGCTTGCATACGTGTATGCCATTTAGAACTTATACTTCTTAAAAAGCATAAATTTATGGAACAAGCACCCACCTGTGTTGATCAGCCATAACCATTGGCATTAATGTATAAACAGCAGTTTCATTATCTGAGGGAAAAAAAACAGAAAAATAATTATCTCCTACTTTTTCTAAGGGGTGATACTTACAATTACTTTAAAGTTTTCTTTTTACATAAAACATGAGAAGGAGATGTGGAAGAGGAAATAGTGCAGAAAACCAAATGTACGGCAAAATTTGAAATAGTGCAGGATCTCTCATCCCTTCTACTGCTTACCCCTTCCATATCACCACAAAAGAGTTTAGCTTCTGGATGTAAAAGGAAAATAAAAGACCTAATATTTTCTGTAGATTTAATGACTGAAATTTCTTTTACTTTCAAAGGGGTGTTTATAGATATCACATTTTATCTTACTTTTATGTAGTGTGGGGGAATTTTGAGTATATATGGATATTAAAGATATGATAAAACAATTTTAAAACCTTAAATATGCATAGTACTTGCTTCTTGCCAATATTATTATAAAAGAAATTATTTTAGAAGCTTTGATGAAACAGCATCGAAGTCTTAATTTTACTTATCACTTTATACTACTTATAACTTTTTTATTCATATTTGCTATGGTTTGAATGTGTTCCCCAAAAGTTCATGTGTTGGAACTTGATTGCCACTGTGGTGATGTTAAAAGGCAAGGCCTCTGGGAGGCAATGGGCCATGAGGGCTCTACCCTCATGAATGAATTAATGTCAGTTAGTCATCCTATGAGTTTGGCCCCCTTTTTCTTTCATCCTTCCTTTCTTGTCCTCTCTTGCGCCACCATTTTCCACCATGGGATGGATGACCCTCACCAGATACTGGCACCATGCTCTTGAACTTCCCATCCTCCAGACACCGTAAGAAATAAATTTCTTTTCTTTATAAATTATCCAGTCCATGGTATTCTGTTATAGCAGCAGAAAATGGACTAAGACAATATCTTTAATAGAATAAATTCACAAAAACATAATCTAAAAGAAAACGTTAAAAATCAACATCTATGATGCCATATTACACTTATGTACATTCTAGCTAGTGTTTTGATTTTTATATATTACTAATAGTCATTTCTCAATTCAATGCATTTTGGAGAGTTATGTTTTTAATTTTTTTGTTTTTAGAGACAAGGTCTTACTCTTGTCACCCAGGCTGGAGTGCAGTGGCCATAGCTCACTGTAACCTCGAAGTCCTGAGCTCAAGCAATCCTCCTGCTTCAGCTTCCTTACTAGCTGGGACTACAGGTGTGCACCACCACACCCACCTGATTTTTGCATTTTTTACAGAGGGAAGGTCTTGCTATGTTGCCCAGGCCGGTTTCAAACTCCTGGCCTAAAGTGATCCTCCTACCTCAACCTCCTAAAGTGCTAGGATTACAGGCATGAGCCACTGCATCCAGCCCAGTTTATGTTTTTTAATAAATTATTTACAGAGAAGTAACCCTGACAACCCCCACTAAGCTCTTTAAAAGTTAATACTGAGACTGTCTCATTATAAATAAATAAATAGTTAATACTTATGCTAAGTTAATGGGTTAAAGTTTGAGAAACAATATTTGCAAGGTATCAAAATATCTGCAAAAAATACTAATTATGAAGGAAAAATAATAAATTTAAAGTGAAGAACCCAACAGCCACCACTTTAATCAACTGACAAAGGGTAACACCACTAGAAATACATATCAATATTATGTAGCTACTGATATGATCCAATGAGAATAACACATCACTTTTGTAGTACAGTGTTCCCTTAGTATAGTAGTATAGTAGTTCTTACCAAAAACGCATAACTTCAATCTAATCATGAGAAAACATCAGACAAATCCAAGCTAAAGGGAGTTAAACAAAAATGTGCAGGGGATACATTCCAAGACCTCCAGTGGATGCCTGAAACCGTAGATAGTACAAAACCCTATATATACTATTTTTTTCCTACAGATACATACATGCATACCTATGATAAAGTTTAATTTTAAATTAGGCACAGTAAGAGATCAACAATAACTAGTAACAGAACAATTATAGTAATATACTGTAATAAAAGTTATGCAAACATGGTCTCTCTGTCTCTCAAAATATCTTATTGTACATTCCATGAGTAATTAAAACCATGGAATGAGAAGCCACAGATGAGTGGAGACTACTGTTTTTGCCAAATATGCATGCATAACTTCAATCTAATCATGAGAAAATATCAGACAAATCCAAACTAAGAGGAATTAATACCTGACCGTTCCTCTTTAAAAGTCTCAAGGCCATTAAATACAAGGAAAGACTGAAGAACTACCACAGCTTGGGGGAGACTAAAGAAATATAACAACTAAATGCAATGTGGTATCCTGGATTGGATCCTAAAATAGAAAAAAGACATTAGTGGGAAAACTTGTGAAATTCTAATAAAGTATAGTATAGTTAACAGTATAGTTAACAGTATCACACAAATGTTAATTTCTTAGTTTTGATAACTGTGCAATATGTTAACCTTAGGGAGAGCTGGGTGAGGGGTATATGGGAACTCTACTGTTTACACAACTTTTCTACAAGTCTAAAGTTATTTAAAAAATTTTTTTTAATAAAAGGAGGAGGAATTGTTATAGATTAAAAGAGTCTTAAGAGACAAATCAACCAACTATAATGTGTGGCCCTTGTATGGATACTAATTCAAAAAAAACAACTGTGAAAGGACATTTTTGAGAGAATTTTTGAGTAGGGAAAAATTAAACATGGACTGGGTATTTGAGGATAATAAAAAATTATGTTAATTGTATTGATTTTAATAATGGTATTATGATTGTGTTGAAAAACATAATTTATATATTCAGAAATACAGACTGAGTTATTTATAGGGGAAATGGAAAAAAGTTTCCATTTTTCATATTTTTGTTCATTATTTTGCTGTGATTATATACATGAAAAGCAATTTAGTCCCAGTCAACATTCACAAATTCAGAATACAACTTTTTCACTTTAAAATAAAATAAAATAAATCCTAATAATACTAATAATTAATAACCAACATTTAGAAACCATTATCTTAAATATATACTATGTTGTTTACCCTCACAACCACCTGATAAAGCAGGTACTATAATATTGCCCCCTCATTTTACAAATGAGAAAACTGAAGCACTAAGTAACAAGCTGTGTAATGGTGTCATTAAGTGGCTGATTCCAGAGCCCCTGCAATACTACATCTTACAGTGCACTCACTATACATTATATATAATAGACCCTTTGGTTATTATACAATACTATTCTTAATATGTGCAACACACTCTAATTTTTTTTCCTCTTCTATTTTTTTTAAATGCTGATTGCAACCCACTAAATTGTTCTCAATAACTATCAATGAGTCACCACCAGGAAGTGAAAACACTGCACTAAGCCTCCCTTGGCATGACAACGTTCTTTACGTATCCCATAATACACACCCCAATAAAAATCTAAACGTCTAAACCATGACAATTTCAATTAAGTCACTCCATAATAAACAAAGTCATAAACAAGAAATACCCTTATTTGTGAATTTAAACTTATAAATCAAGATACTACATAATTTTAAATGAGCATTAGTAAGCATCATAAGGTTTGTACTGGTTTTATTTATAAGATTTTTATTTAGATAAAATTTAGATATAGATCTTATTTTTAAAGACACATATAGCCTTATAAAAATAAAGGTCACATAGATTAAAAGGTAAGTATAAAAATATATATAACCAAAACTATGGTGCTAGGAGACTACCCAAGATATACTATACTAAGAAAGGACAGGATAAAATTTGTTGTGAGATGCTTCCTTCCCCACCCTCATGAAGACACCTTGAGGACTAGGCATATAACTAAAGTTTCCAGAGTGATAAAAAAAAGTTTAATCTCTCACTTTATCAGCTAAGTTGGCCATTTTTCTTAATACAGTTTTGGAACTCAAGTGGTAAAAGGAAAATCTTAAAAAACAACGAGTTCAGATTCAATATACTGTATACAAATTCTCCTCAAACTATCAGGAGTAATTTTTTAAAAACTGTAATTATCCTAATCATCATATATACTAAAATGGGCTCAAATTCTATTACTTTATTAAACAAACTACATGTACTATAAATGCAGTAGTTTAAACTTTTCTCCATGTATGCAAACAATACACGTCAATCTTTTAAAGTCCACTAGACTCCATAACCCTAAAGTAATTTCTTTGCCTTCACTTCTTTTTCTCTCACAAGAATATTTCTGTTAGTCCTACTTAGGATGACTCAACAACCTGTACTCCATGGTAATACTCAGGTTTTCACCACCCTAAGGAAACATAAATGTGTCCCACTTGTATCCAATTCAGTTAAGTCAAATATCTGCAGTTTCATCCTACTGACGGTAACAAGTTAATTTTAGAGTAAAAGCTGACTAAAAACTTTACAACTTTAATAATTTATAATTATATGCTTATTGATTGCTTAATTCTATCAAGGCAAAAAATTCTAATTATTTTCTAAATTTAGAGAGACCTCAGAGCTTCTGTAAAATGTAAGTGCAACAATGTAGATTTTTATAATTAGAATGTATTATGTATGACAAACTTGAAAGAGTCAACCTCAGAGAACTCAAAAGAGTCATTAGAATTTAGGGACAAAGATAAATTCAAGGAACAAAATGAACAAATTCATTATAATCAAAGAAAAACAAATGTAAACAAATTGCCTAGAAACAGGGAAAAAGTTTTATTTTGACTTCCAGGCACCATCAGACTGCTGGTGGAACTTTCCAAGGAGTAAACTGAGAAACTGATACCTAGAGCCTTAAAAATGTCGACATAATTAGACCCTATTTTTCTTCTTCTAAGAATCTACCCTAAGGAAATATTCAGAGAGGCAGCCTAAATTTTAAGTACAAAGCTGTTCCTCATAAAATCAGTTATAAAAAAAAATTAGATTCAACATTTGTTACATGCATCCTACGAAATTCTGCCCAAGTAATTTAGCATATTTAAGGATATAAAAAAATTGGGTATGTTTTCTAAACACAAAATAAAAGACTATATGC